TCTGATTCTCTCACCTAGGCGGAGAGTTTCCTCCAGGACTCCCAGTGCGGGTTGTTCTGCTTGGACAGCTGCTGGAGCTTGTCCTTCACTGTCACCGTGCTGCCAGCTGGCTTGGCACGCTCCCAAGCCTCCTCCAAGCCCTTCTCCTGGATAGAAGGAAGGTACACCACATTCAGAAAACAAAACATCTTTAAAACGAGCTGAAACATGTCGAAAGCAAGCCGGGTCTCGTAGTCGTCAGGGTTGACGAGGCCATCAAAGGGATCCTGGGAGTTAGCGAAGAGCGGGTGCTCTCTCCAGGCATCTTCCATCTCCTGCGCACGCTTCGTGCCTGGCACCACACGCCAGAAAGCATCATCCTGGAAGGAATACAGCACGAACATGCCCATCGCCACTGCAGGGAAGACGAGGGTTGTCAGTGGCACCAACACGGCTGCAAACTTTCGCTGATCTCCGTACTTGGCTTCAGCATCCTCCGCCAGCATGGTCAGGGCAGGCAAGGCGGCGGAGGCGGCGACTGCAGGATTGAACTCGGATTGGGCCTTCGGCGCTGCAGATGGGCCTGGCACGAAGCAGCAGCGGAGTGCAAAGAGCAGCGCAGCTGCTGCAAAGAGGAGCCGTCCCGGGCGAGCCATGATAACCACTGCTACAGAAGCTTTGGAACAGGTTCAAAAAGCTGGCTCTACGGCCTTGGGCAACCAGGTCACCGGTGCGGGTGGCCGTTGTAAGAACAAAACCGCACCAGAGCAGAAAAGACACGACGCTGAGTTTGCCCTAGCAAAGCGGCGGGCAAGGCCGCCGAGCCAGTCTACAACAAGGCTACCCGTGATTTCTACTAGTAGTAGCAGAGACCATGCATGGCATGATGCAAGACAGAGACCCGCAAATCGGTCATTTTTTGTCATACCGCCGAGAACGTCCATGACAGCCTACGAAGCTGCGTGACACTTGGCTTCAAAAAGCTCCCGCGCGTTCTCGGATGTACGTCTGATTCTCTCACCTAGGCGGAGA